TTATCCCGAATGCCGTTCGGGAGTTCTTTTGGACTGCCTTGGGCCCGCTGCTTCTTCCTGGATTTGGGCCTAGGGATATTGGGCCCGGACCCAATATCCCAACAACAGTCAAAAAAGTAACTTCAACCTTAATGTGTTGGCTTATTACACAACTCAGTGCGCGAAATAAAAAATTATATGTTTGGTGAAAAAGTTGGCTGATAAACCGAAAAAAGAGGTCACCAAATGGGCTCTTTGTTTGAATATTGAGCGAGTCAAGCAGTTCTATTAGTTTCCTTTCAAAACAAAGAAGCAGTTCTATTAGTTATTGAACGGTTTGACTATTGAGTCTAGGCCCAATGTCATTGTTCCAGCTAGCTAAGTGTTAAAATACTTAACACTTAGTTAAAAAAGTGATTTTTTAAACTGATTTTGGGAAAAGTGATTAATAGTAAAAGTTGGTAGTGTTTGAGAAAAAAGTGATTCTGAAAAAGTAAAAGTTGGTAGTGTTTGGTAAAATAAGTACTTTTTGTGTAATAGAAAAAGTGAAAAGCAGTTTAAAGCACCCTTCTACCTGCGTCCAGCTTTTAGCTTTTAAGTGATTAATTTAACCAGAAGCTGTCATATGAAAACACTCTTTTCAGCTTTTTTTAAGCCAAAAGCTGAAAAACGCTTTTTTAAGCAACCACAAACACTCCTGAATCACAAATGAAGAACAATATTTGGTTAAGGCTTTACAAGAAATTTGTTTGAAATAGTTATAAGTTTGTTCAAGTTTTCTTTCTATTTTGAAGTAGATTTTGACCAATCTTTTCCAAAAATAATGTTCATTAATGGCCAAATATTTTTTTCCTTTAAATCTGAAAGTAAGATCTAAAAAGGGTAAATTAAACCGTACAACCGGCCATTTTTGCAATTAAATATGGGCTCCACAACTTATCGGCGACAAACAACAGATCGGGAAGTCGAGCGATGTGAACGCACACGATGAGGAACCGGCTAAAGGCTGATGTTGCTAGGATAATGCTCGGCTTATATAATTGGTTGAAGCAAAATCATGCTTCCAAATAATAGTGCTTCGTAATCCACAATTCAGAATACAAATGGCGATTATTTGCAAGTATAATAATTGAAAAACACTTTTGTTTGGACAAATCACGTTTTTGGTTTTTGTCTTTTCTTTTCTTCTTTTCTTGCTTTTACTTGTTTCCTTCTTTCTTTTCCTTTATTTTTTATTTTAATCTTTATTCAATTATAAAATATTTTAGATATTAATATTTTGTTTTTTATAACTCATTTTGTAAGTTACGTATGCTCATTTGATATTGTTTTATGCTCATTTTAAAAAGTTGCACGTTTCAAACATACTTCCTCCGTTCCATAATTCTTGCAACATTGTGATTTTTACACTATTCACAAATCTTACTTTGACCATGATTTTCTACTAATATACATAATCAAATTATTACGTATAAAATGTTATTGAACTCTTATCAATGTGAATTTCCAAAATATCAACTTTTTATAATGTTAACTAATACATAATTAAATATAATTACAGTCAAAGTTGTGCATTGGCAAACGTGAAAGTCAAACTGTTACAAGAATTATGGAACGGAGGATAGTATCATACTACATTAGATTCACATCAGAAATGAGTACACACAAATGGGCTTTTGATTTTTTTTATACTCATTTTGTAAGTTATGTGTGCTCATTTGGTATTGCTTTATGCTCATTTTAAAAGGTTACACATTATTAGACGCTTAATACTCATTAAAATTGGACAATTGCACATTAACAGTACACTAATGCTTATTTATTAGCAGAAACCGCGATTTTCACATTAATTACAAAAATGTCACCAAATTATTTTGCTATTTTCCCTTGGACCTGTTACTGGGCCGGCTGTACGGTCAGGGACGGAGGTATACATAGTGTAAGGGGGCCATTGCCCCTCCCAACTTTTCACTCTTTTCTATAATTTTAGTAATAGTGTTCCCATAATCCCCTTTTTGTGCTTTGAATTTTTAATTTCTTATGTTAATTTTTGTTTTTATCCACTTAATATACTATTCTATTACATTAAAGTGATGGTCTATATACAACATATTACTTATGAATAATATATATGGAGTATACGTTTAAATTTATTACTTTATTTCAATTACATTTAATTAAGTAGATAGAATATTCATCTTATAAAAGAAATATTTTTAAAAAGTGAACATGTCATTATAATTTTGAATTTTTTAATCGTCCTATAAAATCTTACAAAATATATTCAACTACACAACAAATTTTAATACAATGTCTTCCTCTATTTATAGAGTACATTTGATAGTTTGGTTTTATGTACTACATTTTGCCCCCCTCCAATAAAATCCTGGCTCTATCCCTGTATGGTGCTCACCGTACCGGTTGTATATCTAAAAAGACCTCTAAACTTTGTTTTTCACCTAAATAATTATTTCTTCCAAATTTTCAGGACAATTAATGAATTAATGTGCTTTTTATGCCTTTCTACTAAATCTGGCATAAAAAATTGTGCAATTGCACTCCAGTTGACGCACGTAACAGTGATCAGCCACTCGATAAGACAAAAGAAAATTATAGGATTAACATACGAAGTATTATTTAAGAAATAATTTATATTAATATTTCCAAAATTTATTGGAACTTTCAAATGAACATGAACTGAATAAATACGAGTAGGTTCGGTTTATTACATGAAGTTCATTATCAAAACGTACTAGCTGTCATAGGAAACCAAACCAGCAAAAACTAATCAAAAGACATAAATCTGTTTTTTTACTCCAGAACTAGAATAGACATGATAAAAACAAATTAAAGCATATAAATTGCAACCATGCTTCGTTTGGGACCAACTTAAGGTGGACATTTCTACTTTAATTCGTTTTTATTGATTTTAAATTCATTTTAATCAAATTGGAAGGATAATTGTCAAAGAAAACCAAATTATGTTTGGACCTAGATCATGGCCTTCACCATAATTTTAATTTCATTCGTTTTCTTTGGTGTTTCAATTTGAGTCGAGTGTAATATGGTTTAGAAGAATATTACCAAATTTAACTTGAACTATACTCCGTATATGATGAGGGTCAAACCAAATAGGAATACCCACCCTAGAAGGAACCATGATGTCATTCTGAAATAGTCCTTCACACCTCAAACTCGTGAATCATGTTTGGTATTTTTGACAAGTAGAACCAAACCTAACTAAAGACTTTGGTATTTTTTGATTGGGTAAGTACAATGGAATAAAGCAAAATATTTCACCGCCCCTTTGTTATGAGGCTCAACAATATTTTATCATGGATCATCCAAAAACAGTTTCTATGTGCTTTTATATAGGAGTAATGTTGTGTACACCCGAATCTCACCTCTTTATCCCACCGTAGGTGCTGTTGTTTGTTGTTGTAACCAAATGACAGACTAAGTTCTGTAGAAAGCTCACATCTATGAGAAATTTCAAAAGAATCACTCCTTTTAGACATTAGTAGGAAAACCATTTGATTTTTATAAGGAAAATGTCATTTGTACACATAATTTATATACATTTGTTGTGCATACCCTAGTTCTCTATGTACACAGACAGCTCGTTTAGAAACTAGACAATGTCTATAACAAATGTATACAAGTAGCACTCATCTTTTTATAATCCAAGAAGCACTCCTTTGTCCTTTTTGTGGGACTCAATTATAATCAAATCCACTCCAAGAAATGAGTGAAATGCTCCTCTTTCCCGATCCTTTTGACTATTTGAGTCCAAATTTGACAATAATCCATTTCTCGATCTTGATGATCCGAACTTGTGAACATAATTTCTCAGCTTTTCAATTCTAACCAACATTTCCGTGAAGTCTGTATTTGAGATAATTCTCCAAACAGAAGAAACTACGAGAGAAGTGCAAAAGTAGGAGTAGATTTTAAAAAATTCTCAAAGAATACTTTGCAAGTATAGGAGTAGATTTTTAAAAATTCTCAAAGAATACTTTGCAGGGTTTGGGACAGCCATACACCGCCGCTGAAGCTGATACCGCCACTGACGAATACTCTGGATTCTATCTGCCGCCAACCTGCCATCGCAGCCGGCCGCCACTTCCGCCATGACCATCACCGGACTGGCCCGTCACCAACAAACTAACCCGGTTATTTAAGAGAACTAGGGGACATTAATTATATTAATTAATTAGATTATGGGTAGAAAATTAATGTTTATTTCTATTTAGAGAATACTACATATTTAATATGGACTCCTATTTAGCAAAAAAGGGTATGTTTTACTCTTATTAAAAACAATTACTTTATAGTTTTGTTTCCAAATTAATGTAAGAAGAGTTTATCTACGGAGTATAAAGTATGTGTGGACAAATTGAAGCCTTTTTAGTTCAAAATGACGTTTGAGCTCAAACTTTAAGCCTTTTTAGTTCTAACAAGCTGAAATGAACTCAAGTTTATTTATTTTTGGCATTATAACAAATGTTTTCATTAGTTTGAGCCATTCTTAACCAAAATATTTTGGTGATAAACAAAACTATGTGAAGTCTTCAAATTGAACTCCAACATGACTAAGATAAGTCTCAAACAATCACAAACCGAATTATTCAACTCGAAGGCACTTTTGCTCGAATCAATTCACTTTGCTTAACAATGCAAGTAGTGTTCTTGAACTCCACACACAACGCAATATCGTTTGGTGTAACCTTTGTGGTTGAAGTTGTGATCCTAAAAAAATGTTTTTTTAAAGCACATCGGAAAAATGTTCTTAGAAGTAAAAAACTTGAGGTGCAAAATTGCTATATAAATTTATAAACTATTTAAATTCTAAAAAGGCTACTTTAAACTTAAACGAAATATCTGATACGCGATTCATATTGGATTGAACCGTGCATTATTGTTGATTACAGTCCTATTTTAAAAATGAAAATTGAGGAAATATGAATACTATTAACAAAAGCTCAAAAACTCATTTTGGATGATATTAATTATAATAGTCTTGTAGATGCATATATACTATGTGTATTTTACAATTGTCTGATTTGATCTATTTACGTCTAGTTTTTAAGACTGAAACCGTCTAATTAAAAGCATCCTTTCATCACGTAAACTAAGGAAACACAATTATCTCCATGCCAATAAGGCAAAATCGGTTTAAAAGGATATCTGGAGTAAAGCGGAAACATTTTGAAACTCCAACACAAATGAAGTATAACAGCAAAACTCAACACAATTAATAATCAGTTTTACGGTGTTTGCTTAAATCTTAGTACCCATAGCTAGTCTTCTTCATCATCCTCATAAAATCATCAAAATGTACTTCACCATCACCTGTAAATAAAAGAAACACCCAAAAGGTCCATCAACAACATCAAACAACTCATAGAAGCATTGAGGAAACAAACATTATTATTTGATTGAGAGAGGGGTAAATAATTTTTACGGTCACGATCAGCTTCATCAATCATCTCTCGTATCTCCTTTTCAGTAAAATTTTCACCCAACTCCTTGGCTATGAGCTGAATGTCAGCTACAGATATTTTTCCCTGTGTACAGATTATTGAACCATCATAGTCATGAATGACTAAAGCTATAAAAAACTATGCAATTGAAATAAATGAAAGGGAAGGAAAAACAAACATTTTTATCATGATCAATAATATCAAAGGCTTTCACTAACTCCTCCTTGCTATCCCTTTCACCGATCTTTGCAGTCATCATGTGCTCAAATTCATCGAAATCAATAGCCCCACTGCCATCTTTGTCCACATCAGCAATCATCTGTTCTATTTGCTGCAAGAGAAATTACAAATGTAGTGTTAGCCACACTGTAAGAAAAATACCAATGGTTGGAGTAAGCAAAACTGTTATTATATTTTTTTAAAATATCATACAATCATTCAAGGAGAGCACCAAATTTATTTCAGCAGTTACAACTTACAAATGAAATAGCTCGTTTGATAAGGGTCAAACTAGCTTTAGTGAAATCTGCTGAATTTGCTGTTGCAGCTGAAATTGTTAATTTGGTGGTAATTGCTCAATCATTTCAAAAGTTGTTGTAAAGTACATATTTAAATATATTGAACAAAGAAAGTTAAATAACATTTAAATACAATCCAATTCCACCCAAAAAAATGCTACCCTTCAGTAGTTAAGTTTTCCATTATTAGTGAATTTAGGCATTTAGGCAACAGTGCAACACAATAACAACAGTCAATGCTTAATGACAAATCTGGCAAAAAAGGCTCATAAGCCAAAAACAGATTCTTTCAAATGGGATGGAAACGTGGATTACACTAAACCTGTTTCAATTTTTTTCCCTCGCATATTCACAATTTTAAGGAAAATAAAAACCCGGTATTAAAATTAAAACTAAACAAGGAAAAACTTATATTTTAGTTTTACCTCTTCTGACATCTCAAATCCAAGGGCCCTACAAGAGATCGTGTTAGTTCATTAGTCATTATCCGGTGTGGTTATAGATTAGTGAGCAGGTAGAGACAATAACCAAACCTCATTGCAACATTCAGTTCTTTGGCATCAATTGTTCCTGTGGACAACTTTACATTTAACAAACAACTCCAGTAAAAGGAGAGCACACTGACAGTCATGTATAGTATTGTTTTTAGCAAGAGGCAACTTATTACCAGAGCCATCTGTATCAAAGAGCTCAAAAGCTTCTTTGATCTCTTGCCTTTTCCGCTGATTCAGACCTTGATGACGCCCCCTGGGCTTATCTTTCCTTGGAATCCCTCTACTTGTGCCAGCCTATTGACAGATCGGGAAAAAGATTGATTGAAAAATCATTATGTAAGTGAATAGTGGCAATTTGGTGGATGAAAAGATGGCTTATCGCCCTTATAAAGTTACATTTTCCAGTTTCCCACCAAATAACCGTTTTCTGCTGCTCTAGTTCATCCTACTGAAAGATAGAAAACTGAAAAAGTAATTTCAAACAAACTTTGTTTAGCACAAGTAAAGAGAAATGGTAGCATTACTTCTTAATGAATACAATGCACATTGGTTGATTACACGCTCTGTGATCCAATTCAGTCATTTATACATATTCTTCTATTTTGGCCATTTCAGAGATTATAGCAACAAGAAAAACTAGTAACTCAGAAACTGAAACTTACACGAGAATAGTGTGTGAAAGGGGGAGATGCCACATAGAATTAGGGTACAAAAATGAGAATAATAGTGTCCATGAGGAGCATGACACAAAGATCATGGCAAATAAAGATTACTGTGCAGGTAAAACTGTAAAAGGTTAGAATTTGGTAATATTTTGCAAGGACATCAACTAGATTGGTGTCTTTAATTCTTTACTCCAAGTCTTCTATTGGTATCAACTATCAAATAAAAATACTTTAGTAAAAACGCAATAAGCAGATCGATCACCCTTAACCAGTTAATCTAGCCATCCCCCTTCACACACGCAATCGTAGGGGGAGAGATCAGCATCATAGCTTGCATCCTTCATGGAAATCTATATCAATTTATCTTTTGTGAATCTTTAGGCATGATATCACTCTTCCCAGAGCCAGGATAGTGCCATATATCTAGTTCATTTTATTTGTTTTCGGTTTTGATTTTGTATTCTATTATCCTCCACTTGACAGCAATTGAGGAGCTAAATTGTCAACCATCTGATGGATTTCTTGTAAAGGGGAGGGTAAAATAAGCACTCAATCCAAATTTGCAGAATGTAAACATAAAAACCCAGAAAACAAAACAGAATCAACGAGATTCAAATAGAGCAGGAGGTGTGTGGCTGATGAATTTTTTGATCCGGAAAACGCACCATTTTGACGGCGGATGATCGGGCAAGAATCGACTTCTTTGGTCTCCTGTCGAGGAAAGAACGTCAATAAACCCACGCTGGCACCGGAAGTATTTCTACTGGGAGATTTCCGTTCCAACCAACTCCGGTGTCTAGAGCTGAGCATAATCAGGGCAGGACCGAAATGAAGGACCGAACCGCACGGGTGGGTCCAGACCAGACCCGACTGGATAGATACCTGTCCGGTCTTCGGCCCAAGGAATTTATCGATTTCGGTTCCGGTCCGATCCAATTCAAAATCCACAATATTTTGATCCAGACCAGTTAGACGGGAATTAATTTATAGTGCGTAGTACTCCGTATATTTTTATATATGTATTTTTATTTATTTATATATGTACTAGTGATTGATCGCGCAAGACGCATGAGCTTGTGCCCAATATTAAGGTAACGTCCTTTTCGTAAATAATTATTATATTTGAGATTAATATGATTTTTTTAAATAGATTATGAAATACCCTATATTTTATATAAATTGTCTGGTGAAATATATTACTCGTCGACCAAGTACTGTGTGGAAAATATGCTTATTTTATTTAAAAGCATGTGATTATGCAATTTGATTATATTTTTGTTTTAATATACTCCATATGAAACAATTATAAATGCCAGTAGATTTTTATGATGAATATTAGATTTTTATAATGAATGGTGACCAAATGTTGTTTGACACCTTATAGTAAAATTTTAAGTATAAAAAATCAATTAGTAGCGTTCTATAAGCAAAGATATAATATTTTGTATTATCAATTTGCGTACTTTACTAATGTTTTTTCGCCTCATATTACATGTGGTGAATATTATCCATTTTTTATTCTTTTCATAGATACTTACAAGTTACTATCCTTGTAAATTATCAAATTCTATGTTTTTTGTTTGTTAACCCTAGTTTAACCTGCTTTTCTAGAACACATTTATATGAGAATATTAACAGGAAAAGTCAATTTATTGTTTATTGAAAAAATCTTGTATTAAAATTGATTAGCTTATCATTGATAAGTACAAATCTAAATAAAAGATGCACTACATTTCATCTTCTATTTTTCTATTTTAATTTTTTCTCCTTCTTATACTTTGATATCATAGCTTTATTTGACCTATTATATCTTTTCTGATGATTTTCTCCTATTGCAATTTACACTTCTAAGTAAAAGGAATACTTAAAAAAATTAAAGTTATAAAATACGGAGCTCAATCCATATATATGTGTGTGTATTTTGTGTGTATGTGGTTCAAAAAAAATGTTTTGCAAGTGTAAAATGATTGTATTCTTGTAGATCACCCTTACCTACCTATCAATGATGCAATTTCGTGTAAATGAGCCATTCAAACATGTTCTCTCGTTGCTCCGACTCAAAAGGAGCACTCTGTAGAATATCATTTGACATTGTTTCGACGGTGGGGTAGGAGAATATTTTACTCTCCCCCCCTCAAAATGTGCATCTTAAAAAGTCCTTGCATTGTACGTTGTTTGGCACCAAGAGAAAAATTAAATGCCCTCCTCAAAAGTTGCAAGTGGAGTTGTTTGTTGCATGGGGAGTAAAGTAGAAAGCCCCCTTGAGAATGTGTTTTTAATCATTGTTTACTACATGAGTGAAAAAGAAACACCCCTCCCAAAAGTTGCAAGTGGAGTTGTTTATATGCACTTAGCTTATATAGGCTCCAAGATGGAGAAAATGAAAAAAAAACACTTGATGTGTGCACTTGATGATTCTCTGCTTAGTGGGGTAGTAGCTCGCGAATACTCCCAATCATAATGTGCACTAGTTGATCGCTCAACAACTCGTCTTCCTGCCACGTGTGTAAGAGTGTGAAACAATCAGATCAAGTACCACACATGAGAGATTTACAAAAGGTTTAGAAACCTTTGGTACCCTTTTCAGGGTGAGTTTGTTCCTTTTTGCATTAAACAAAGTTTGAGATGATTGTTATATTTTTATTCCTAAAGCAGTCTCTTTTGAAGCTTTCGAAGAACTATATCACTGAGATTTGGTTCAGGAATCCATTTTTGAACAATAACATTTTGAGCATAGGTGAATGATGAGACAAATTTTCGAGGGCCCTAAAGATTATTTCCCTAAATAAACGTTTGAGATGTTTGGCTGAATAAACCTTTAGAGGACATTTCTCACAAACATCATCACAAACATCATAGGTAGAAACTTGAAATCTCTTCTGTTGAGATTTCTTATCATTTATATCACAATGATTGTTAGAAGCTGTAAAAGAAGAGTTGTGCTTCATAAGTGCTTTAACCTTAGCACTGGAGTGAGATTTCACAGATCTAAACTCCTCAGAAGAAAACCGAGAAGCATTGTCTATGATAGAACAAATCGACTGATTGCTTGAACTTGAACATATCTCTTTAAAGGTAGTACAAGTCTTAGAGACATCACAATGCTTTTTAGATTTTTCTAAGTATTGCAGCTTCATTTTGACGTTTATTGATAGGCATTATTGCCTTTCAGCTTTTCACAATGTGAGGAAGAGTGCAGGCCTATAGTCTTAAACACCTATTTAGAGGGAGACCTTGCAGATTTGTCTATTAAAACAGGAGATGGTGTAGAGATTGTGTGTGTAAATGGAGATTTTTTGAGAAGAGAAGTCTCATTTAAAAGTTTTTGTTGTTATTTTTTGAAAATCTTTCTTACAGTTTCCATATATGTGTGTAAGTCCGCAATTTTGCGAATTGAATGATCTCAGGAAAGTGAAAACTGCAGTTTTAGGATTTTCAGAAACAGAAAATTCGTGTTGGTCCCTGTTTGAACGATTATCTAACAGCTATGGATTGCACAGTATCAAGAAATGAGGAGAATTTCATTACAATGATTCAACAATGATCCGAATAGATGAAATCTCTCTCTATATCGAGAAACTATGAGCTGTTATTACTGTACATGTGAAAATGATTTGCGTGAAAATTAGGCGTTGTACATCCTATGTGCGTATTTATAGACGCAGGACAAGGTGTACAACCTGCCTGAAAAAGGCATAACCTAGGAAAACAAGCCTTAACATGAATAACTTAATTCCATTCTAGGCTTATTCTAATAAATAGATAAAATACCATAAAAGCTAACTAAAACAAGACTACTTTTGACAATCTTGATCACAATAAAATATCTTCAACAATCTTCCCCGTTATGATCAAGTGTCGTCTTGCCGTTCTTTACTTTTGCTTTCTGAAGTAGTTCTTTCTCAGATTTAGCGCATGCTCATATTGTCATAGTGACCTTCGTTTGTCAAGTTGTTTCTTGATAGCTTTCAGTATGTTGAAGAGTCTGTCGAATTCTTTGAGTTCGGCTTTTGATGCATCGACAAACCTTCTTTCTATTTCTTCTTTCTTTGGCTGCACCTTCTCCATTTTGATCTTCAAAATCCCATCACAATACTTGGCAGTTTCTTCAATCACCATCAAACGGATGTGATTCAGATAGGTTATCGCGACCGGCTTGTCAAAGATGTGATAAGGTGGAAACTATTCAAGCTCCAGTCCGTATAAGTATGGCCTGGTGAGATTTGCCTTCGAGATGTTGTTTTCTAGGGCCATTTGCAGATCATGGAAAGAACACACTCTGACTTGTTGTATCATAAATCTCTTGACTGCATTGAAGCCTTCTTTCACTACTTTGTATCTACTAACGGGAAGATCCTTGTATGCCATGAACATCTGATAGATGTCGTCCATCTTCAGCAGAAAGAAGTCATTCTCTTGGAAAGTGAACTCTGTCCCGTCTGTGCATTGTAGTCAATAGATAGAGAGTTTGATTCCATGATGACCACCTTCACCCACATTGAGAATGTTCCAAACAGGTTACTTGCATGTCTGTAGATAGTGCTTCAGGATCTCACGTTGCTTGCCCATCGATCTATGACTCAACATGTGAAGATGTCCTTTGATGTCTTTCCCTTTGAGATGGGTCAGACCATGAGCTTTTAATTCATCAAGCCGCTTCAGTTTCTCTAGTCTTCGCCATATATGCTTTCAGATTTCCTCTGGGAAGGGGGCAGTTATTCTGATGTTCTCCCAAGGTTTTCCATTCTTGGGCAACCGAGCTCCCGTTCTTCTGATAACTGAAGGTAGCCCTGCTGGAGTTTCATTGTAGTTCTCCCCTTCTTTGATTTTGTCTTCATCAAGCCTAATGATATCAATAGCACATTTCACAAGAAGCTCTCTGAGGAACCAGCTACTTTGTATTTTATCTTGCTCACCTTCTACTCTAAGATCATCCCATTCCGTCCATTTGTTGTTAATAAGGATGTCTTCAAGTTGAACGCGGATGCATGGAGCCAGAAGAGTAGAGGAAGCTTGTTGCCGCTGTGGCGACTTGTTATCATCAGCTACGAACTAGGTTCTGATTGATGGCCTGAGTAAAATGATGCACTAAAAGTAACAACATCAGGACTTCCACTCCATCCTTAGTCAATATCTATAAAAGATGCGCCTCAGAGTGTTCCGTCTAGCTCAACTGGGCTAGAAATAATGGGGTTAGAGGTTTGGGTTTTGTTTTGGTTGGAGGAAGTTGGTTGTTGGTTGGTTGAGGGAAGGGTTGGTTTGACTGCGGTTGGGAAGCAACATGGTCAAGTGTCTGCTGCCGCTTGTTCTCCCCCTCATGAGGAGCTGAGTCATCGGGGTCCTCATGAGAACGTTTGCTACCACGGAGACTCTCACAGCATGTGCTTTAGGTATCCAGAACATGAAGAAAGTCTTGTTAGGTGGGTCTAATGTTGCCTTCTTCTGTTGCTAGAATTCGGGCTAACATGATAGACGAGAGGTCCTCGAACGGCATGATATAAGAGTTGGGGTAAGGTGTGGTCAAGGTAGGGGAGGACACTAGTTGTGTATCCTGGGTTCCCCCTGATGTGGTAGGTGTATGAGGTTGTTGTGTTGTTGGTTCACATGTGGGTATGGATATGGTTGGGGTCTGTTGTGGTTGGGTAGAAAGGTGTGTTGGTTGAGGTTAGGGTTGGGTTTGATCATTCTGAACCACTTGGTTCAATCTAAAGTCATGTTCCCGAGCGGTTATTGCTTCGTGCACCCTCACCATAATGGTGGACTTTAGAAAGCGATTCAGAACATCGATAAAGACTTCAGGGTTAGGGTTTCCAATTACAGGGGTCGTAACTCTTGTCAGAGCATAAATGAAGATTGCTTATG